GGTAAAGCACAGGTGTGCAATAATTTCAACGCAGGCTCCTGCAGTTTCAGCGCCTGTAGACTATTGCACATCTGCTCCATATGTTTCAGGGCACATACCAAGACCATGTGTCCAGCCAGGTTGTCACCAAACAAATGACTAACCGACATTAATATCGACAACCTGGTTTTTTATCTAAGGTGTCACCCCAGCAGGCACTTAGTGGATTTTCTCACCACAGGTTTTTCACAAGGGTTTCACACAGGCATAATAGCCATTCCCCCAGGTACACTAGAATGTCCTAATCTCCAGTCTGCACGTTTAGACCCAGTCGCTGTAGACACTCTCATTTCCGCAGAAACCACAAACGGTTTCATGATCGGTCCTTTCACCTCTTCACCGTTTTCCTCCTGGCGCACTAACCCTATTGGTATTGCTATTCACAAATATTCTAATAAAAAACGTCTCATTATCGATTTATCGGCACCGCACTCCTCTTTTGTTCCAAGCATAAACGCACTCATTCCAGCAGACGAATTCTCTCTGCAGTACGTCACCATCGACGACGCTATACAGTCTATCATGACATCTGGTAATCGACCCTGGCTCAGCAAAACAGACATCACTAACGCCTTTAAATTACTGCCCATACACCCCTCACTCTGGCACTTACACGGTGTTAAATGGCGAGGGTATTATTACTTCTCAACACGACTCACTTTTGGTTCCCGAAGCAGCCCCAAACTTTTCGACATTTTCGCTGAGTCACTATGCTGGCTGCTTCTGAATGTCATCAGGTGTCACTCCGTTATTCACTATCTAGATGACTTTCTACTGATAGAGCCAGGGTCATCAACACCCACAGCAATCAATAGTACTACCGCACTTTTTCCACACTTGGAGTCCCTTTGTCCCCAGCCAAAACTATAGGACCCACCACAAAGTTGACCTTTTTAGGCATAGAGCTCGATTCTGTCAAACTCAGAGCTAGCCTTCCACACGACAAACTTTCACGATTGAGAGGGGAGATAGACACGTTCCTGCGGAATGACGTTTGCACCAGGAGAGAACTTCAGTCCCTTCTTGGATCTCTGAACTTCGCCATGCGCATCATTCCGCAGGGAAGGTCTTTTATTTCCAGACTTCTTTGCCTGCTCCATGGAGTCCCGGACTCCGGCACAGTTTCTTTGGACCCCCACGCCAAGGCTGACTTAGCTATGTGGGGGAAGTTTTTGAAAGACTGGAATGGTATCTCCATGTTTATCCCCCCTCTCTCCACCTCTTCACCCATCATCCACACAGACGCAGCAGCCAACACCGGTTTCGCAGCCATTTTCGGGAACCACTGGTTTAGGGGCCACTGGCCCACTGAGACGGATGCCTTGCCAGGATTCAGGGAAACCTCAACCCTATTTGAAATTTACCCCATTGTGGCGGCCGCACACACCTGGGGTCATCTCTGGTCCGGCAAGGCAGTAAAATGCTACTCAGATAACTCGGCAGCTTGCGATATTATTAACAAAGGGCGCTCATCATCCCTAACCATCATGCGGCTGATTCGCAAGTTGACCTGGCTGGCAGCATCCAATCAGTTTCACTTAGTATGTTCTCATATCCCGGGTATTCACAACACCGCCGCTGACGCTCTTTCTCGTTCTCGATTCCAGGCATTTTCTCAGGCACTCCCAGCAGCTCACCATCAGCCATCCAGGACACCACGGTTTCACGAACTAATATTGGATTAAGCACACTCTTGCTTCACGCTAGATCACTCACTCACCAAGCATTATCACCCAACACTGCTATCACTTACAATAGGGCACTTAACATATTTAATAAATTCACTGCAGAATTCGGGCTACAAGGTGACTTTTCTATCCAAACCATGGTGTCTTTTGCCTCTTTCTGCCACCTACACCTTAATCTGTCACACAACACCATTAAACTTTACCTCACCGGGGTTCAGCACCACAGCCTCACCAATTTTCCTAACAGCACCCCCTTTTTGTCTTCATACCCCATAAAAAAGGTCTTGAAAGGTATATCTAAGGTTTCACCACCACTCGCAAGCACTAGATTACCCATAGACGGGCCTATCTTCAGGTCTCTTAGCAATCTCCTTGACACAGCCCCATTTGATAGCTACACCAATACGGTGATAAAATCTGCCATATATCTCGCTTTCTACGGTTTTCTCAGACCTAGAGAGTTCACAGTGATTTGTCAAGGAGATATCGCACAATGCCTTAAAACTTCACACCTCACCAAGGTAGAGGATCACTACCTCCTCTCTATCCCTACCACTAAAACCAACCGGTCAATACATCCTACAATAATTCCTCTCTTCCCTACTGATAATGCCTGGTGTCCGGTGAAAGTTCTCGACCAACTACGGTCTACTTTTCGCACTCACCTGCCAGACTCTCCGCTCTTAACATTACAAGGGCACCCGCTTACCACGGCAAAATTGATGTCACATGTCAGAACCCTGTTATCTAAGCTCGGACACAATCCGGCTGCATTCTCCGGGCACTCCTTCCGCATAGGAGCCGCCTCAGCAGCCTCAAGCACAAACGCACCGGTCCACATCATCAAAAGGCTCGGGCGATGGAAATCCTCCATATATAACGCATATATTCCGCAACCAGAGAAAGAGCTTCGCCAAGCTTTCAGAAACTTGGTCTTGTAAAATGCAATAAAGTGTGTATTTTCTCGAATTTATCTTTTTGCCCTCTTTTATTTACAGGCCCACTCGTACGTTGGTTTCGGCACACCACAACCAACTTTGCTCACAGTTACTATCCATCACGTATTTAAATTCCGAGCACAAGTAGAAAGGCCATTAGGCCTGAATTTGTGGGAGGAGTAAGTCCCCTACTTAAGCTCCCAGCCCCTACTCACCGCTGCCGCTCAGCTGATTGTCCCCACCCACCTACACCCTGTTTTAACTACATTATCCTTGGTGAGCCCTCTTTTATTTACAGGCCCACTCGTACGTTGGTTTCGGCACACCACAACCAACTTTGCTCACAGTTACTATCCATCACGTATTTAAATTCCGAGCACAAATATATATATATATATGTGTTTATTTATATTTGAATTAAAGGAAAAGAATAAAGTTCGGATGAGTCCTACAGTTGTAAGTTTAATAAATGCTGTGGCCTGTTTCATCCAATATTCATTGTTTGTCGTTATTGGGGGGAGAATTGGGTAGTCTTCTTACTTTTAGTCGCACCACATTCCCCGCTACGTGCATAGAAGCATGTGTTAACAAATATTTTGTTATTTTACTGTACCTTCTGGTAAAACTTGTATGGCTTGTGGTCTCTCTTCTCGGTTTTGCACATTTCTGAAAAAACACAAGGGGTAGCAATGTATACATGTTCCAATTACTGAATTATTGACAGGAAAAGATCTGGTAGTCGTTTAGTCTTTATATAACAGAATTCCTAAATTGCATAGTTTTATGGCTAAACCCAACTTATAGTATATAGTTATAATTTGTATTATCCAAGTCAAATATGATTCTTCTAAAAAGTAAATGATTGCAGGGTTAAACTAAAATTGCACCTGACACAATCCTGTTTGTCTAGTTTGCATTTTATTGAATAACAAACAATGTATAGTTAACAACACATACTCAGACTCAAAATGAATTATAGTGGTTTGCTGTTTGTACTGAGTCAAATACTTTTCTCTGTCTTGTGATTTCTCCTGTATCTGATTTTCTGTGTTTGCCTGTCAATGTCTAAAAGGCTGTAGATTGATTCTAACATAATGAATAATTCCTCTGTAAATTAAAACTGGTCGCTGTAGTTTGAGTTGCTATCCCCTTAAAGAAACAGCTTCAGAAGTAAAAGGCAAGCATGGGGGCGGAGTTAAGCCACGGAGCTGAATGGCCGCACGTTGTCTGAGCTCCGGACAAAACAGCCACTTTTACCCTAATTGCAGTGCCCAGACCCCGCATACCGACCGTAAAACAGTCGCCCGGGCTGTGGTAGACGGGATGGGGCGAAAAACTAAAAAGTCCAAACTGGACTAGCCAAGGCAGAACGCAAGCATCGGCGACCTCTGGAGACAGGCCCGGAGTGCAGTGAGTCCAAACATGGCCGCCTTCCCTGATGAAAGCTCTGACATCTCCGATGATTTCATAACAGAACGGAGGTAGAGCCCCTGCCCGCACCAAAGGCATCTCTCTCCACTCCCCCACGACCCGACTCACCCCCGGTCACCATAGTGGTTATGAAGGACCTGCTGGCCGGGGTCCAACACGCTATTCAGACGGATATGGCCCAAATACGCACCGACCTGCAGGGCCTGACAGGCCGCGTTAGAGCCCTGGAACATGGATCCCTACAAACCACCAAGCACACCAAGCATCTACAGCAACTGGTAACCGAACTGCAACAACAGAATCTTAAATTTGAACATCAATTTGCAGTTCTGAAGGACCAGAGGCGCAGCAAAAACATTAAGATCCGGGGGATCGCAGAAGAGATACCGGAGGCTGAAATGCCTCACTTTATACGAAGGCTCTTCGCGGCCCTACTTACACCTAAACATGCCAAACAGATAACCCAGGAGGGGATGTTCTGACTCCCAAGGCCTGCCACAACCCCATGCATGCTACCCAGAGATCTACTGGTACGCTTTCCATAATACGGATAAAACAGCAGTGCTGAACGCAACACGAAACCACTCTCCCTACCTATTTGAGAATATGTCACTCTCACTATACAGACCTCTCACGGTCCACAATGGCCTGGCGCCGTTCACTTCAGCCCTTCATGGCACTTCTCCGCGTGCAAAGCATCAACTACAAGTGGAGGGGCTCACGCACACTACAACTTTCTCACGGAGACTCCCGGTACACCATCCAAGATATGCAGGGCGCGAGAGACCTGCTTCCAACACTGGGCCTACGACAGGACTCCATACCTACGACGGGACAATGCAACATACCCACTTCACCTGGGATAGGGGACCCAGCAACAACACTACCATTTGTCCCCCAACGGCTCGAATCACAGAGAAGCACAGCAGCCACAACCTGATGGGACTCTGATGGCTAACGAGGCCACATCTAATTCTCCACGGGTCTCCAGGCCCAAGGACTAGCCCCAAAGGCTTATGTGGAGGAACTCTAAGCGCACAACAGTTTAATGTGCACAAGTTACCTGTTCCCTTATATTTTGGTTTATATGTTCTTATTCTTATTTTAGACACATTATATTAGGCTGCAGAGAGACCAAAACACAATGCACACCTAGTCTCACAGGCCCGAGGGAAGGGTACAACACACAGTCCCACTGCAACCCGCAACCACATAGCACCCCGACAGAGACCAGGCCATTGAGAGAGCCCCAGTTTCTTTTTCTCTCCCCTCCACCCCCCAGGGTTACAGGGGATCGTAATCCACACAACCGGCCACAAGCCACCTGACCCTTTCATACATGCGTTCCACGCATACAGGCCACAGGCGGACCATGCACATCAGGCACACGAAATGTCATGTTTCCAGGGACATTTAGCTTCGGTACACAACAGTGGCAAGATGAGCACACACGCTAGTGTTTAGCTAAGTTATTCTCTACTTCATGATCTAAGTTTGTGAATGTCTTCATGTCCAACGTTAACTAAATATAAAATGTGCAGTCTATATGAAGCCATGTTAATGTCCTAAGCTGATTGTTAGTAATGCGCTTGATACAGCTATTGTGGCGTTTCAAGCTTGTTTGTCACCCTTTGCACGTGAAAAATAAAGAATTTATAAAAAATAAAAAAAAATTAAAAAAGGGGGGGAAAAATTCAAGCGTGACGGAAACATTTCGTCATGTGCCCTTAGGGGGCTATGCTATCCATAGAATACAGAATTAAATTAATTTTTTACAGCTGAGAGGTGTGATTTTGTGATTTTTTACACAATTTCGTGATTTTTTACACAGATGCCTCTATAGATATTTTGTAGCAGGATTTTAAAGTGTTATAAAATATTTTTGAATTATGTGAGAACTTTAGAATTTGTTTCGTATAGTATTTTGTGCTTTCAGAATATTAGTGTGAATGATTTTTTTTAGAAATTCTGAAATTCTTTATCAAAAATGAGATTTTGAGAGCTGTGTCAGGTCTTTGGCTTATTTACGTTATTGTCAGTTCTTGTTGTGGCAATCTCCTATTTTTTTTATTCTGTAGTGCAAAGGATTTTCAAACAAGCATGTGCTGACATATCAGAATTATTAAGCATTGATGTAGTATACATGGTGTAACGTTAGCATGTCACAGAAAGACATTGCACAATTTTAAAAACAGGAAAAACAGGAACAGTAAACAGTTTGGTTAGTCAAATCTACAATGTGGAGTAGGCCCATCGGAGCCGAAAGGTTCTGATCAAGTGCGAGGATTGGTGGTCTGGAATTTAGTTTCTACTAAGTAACAAGCTAGTTGTGGTGGAGCGAATGCTTGGCAGGCAGAGTAGGTCTTGGGCACTGTGGCGTCCTGTATCTGCAGGGTGTCTGACTGTTATTATGTTCTCATGAGGGCTTTGATCTTTATTTAGTGTGCCCATGGTCATGCCTGAGTCATGCTGTGTAAGCAAGAAGCGTTGACATTGCATTCATGTCAGGTGTGACGGGTCTGTTGGCTATTCTAGTGTTTGGAGTGTCCTGCTCTGTCTCTGCATTGACAGTGAGAACCCCTAACCAAGGGGGCTGTGAGGGTGAGATCGGCGCCTGTCAGGGTGTTCTCAGTTTTGTGTGTTCCTCAAGGTCTTGGGGCCTTGTACCTGTATGGTTACCTAGGAGTGTGTCTGTGTGTTGGTCTGAGTTTTGCGCCCTAGGACCTGAAGCCTGAGTATTTGTTAGTGATTAAAAAGTGTTCATTAGATATGTGCAATTCGTTTCGGTCCAAATTTAAATTCAGGTGAATTTTTGCAATTTGTCCGAATTTCTGAAGTGCCAAGCCGAACCAAATTGACAAAGTGCCGAATTGCTGAAGTCCAGAATTTCGGCAGTGCCGAACCGAATTGCCGAAGTGCAGAATTTCGGAAGTGCGGAAGTGCTTCGGATTTCTGAAAAGTGGCAAAACAGGAGAGGGAGGGAAAATTAAGGGAATGACGACAGGAATCTAACCCTAGCCCTATCCCTAAACCTACCCCCCAAGCCTACCCCTACCCTAAGGCTTAGGGGTAGGGTTAGGAGTAGGGTTAGTGTTAGGGAATTGCTGAAGTCCCAAATTCTCGAACTGCCGAAGTCCAGAATTTTGGAAGTGCTGAACCGAACGAGATTTTTTTGCCCATGCACATCCCTAATGTTCATGGAACCGGAGGCCGCAGTACACTCGTTTGATATAGTATGTCACCAAGGGAGCCCCTCTCTGTCAGTTGTTTGTCGGAACAGTAGTTCCTTGAGGTCCCGGGTAAAGAGACAAGGTGCTAGGGAAGAAGAGACACACAAAGGGCCTTGCAAAGGGGAGAAAGAAACACACAGAGGGACTAAGTGGGGGGGAGAATGAGACACACAGTCAGGGTGGGGGTGCTCCAGTGAGTCTTGGAGCAAGAGACACACAGAGGAGCTGGAGGGAAAGAGACACCGGGGAGCTTAGGGGAAATGAGACACACAAAACTGATGGTAAGAGACACACAAGGCGGGTTGTAAGAGACACACAAGGGGAAAAATGGGAATAAAAAAAACACAAAAGGAGCCACACACCCAGCCATCTACCTGATCTAAAAGAAAACGTGATTCTAAGAGTCTGACTATTTTATGATTTGTTGTACTTTCTCCGCTATTTGTCATGGCTCCCTGCGATTCTGTTGGTGTGGCCGCATGGAAACATAGCGCCTATGCCTATTGAAAAATCTAATACTTACCTTGGTCGTGGCAAACCTCTGCCAGACCTCCTTCTATCCTGGTCCCCAGTGAGTACGGCGTTCCTAGTTCCAGTATAAATAGGAGACTTAACTTCGCCCACACCAAAAATGGCGCCAACATGCGTGCGGCGTCACATCATAGACGCACATGCACGTTTTGGGGTCAGAGGTCAGAAACAGCCAATTACAGCCTAAGGAGGGTTATTTAAACCCAAATTACCTTTTTGTCAGTGCCCTGTCGTGGTTTCCAGTAGCTGGTTATGTGAGAGTGTGTTCCTGATTGCGTTTTTCCTTGAATATTCTGTTTTTGCAAGTATGCATCTAGTAGCTGTTTGAACATCTGTATGGACTCTGATAAAACCACTTCTTCAGGCAGAGAATTCCACATCCTAAATGTTCTTACAGTAAAAAAACCTTTCATTTGCCTTAGACAAAATCTTCTTTCATCCAGTCTAAACGCATGGCCTCGTGTCCTATGTAAAGTCCGGTTTGTGAATAGATTTCCACACAATGGTTTGTATTGGCCCCGAACATATTTGTATAATGTTATCATATCCCCTCTCAGGCGACGTTTTTCTAAACTAAATAGGTTTAAATTTGTTAATCTTTCTTCATAGCTGATATGTTCCATTCCTTTTATTAATTTTGTAGCCCGCCTCTGCACTTTTTCTAGTGCCATAATATCCTTCTTTAGAACAGGTGCCCAAAATTGCACAGCATATTCAATATGGGGTCTTACCAGTGATTTATAAAGAGGCAAAATTATATTCTTGTCCCGAGAATGAATGCCCTTTTTCATGCATGACAATACCTTACTGGCCTTGGCCACTGCTGATTGACATTGCACATTGTTGCATAGTTTGTTGTCTATAACAATTCCCAAGTCCTTTTCGTGTGTTGTTATCCCTAATTCGCTTCCATAAAGGGTATACGTTGCTTGTGTATTCTTTACGCCGAAGTGCATAACTTTGCATTTTTCAACATTAAATTTCATCTGCCATTTGAGTGCCCAGTCCCCAGTCTATCTAAATCCCTCTGCAGCAAAGTAATATCTTGCTCACATTGTATTATTTTACAAAGTTTTGTGTCATCTGCAAACACTGAAACATGACTTTCAATGCTGTCTTCAAGATCATTTATAAACATGTTAAATAGAAGGGGTCCCAGAACAGACCCCTGAGGGACACCACTTGCCACCTCTGTCCAGCTTGAAAATTTACCATTAATGACAACTCTTTGTATTCTGTTTTTAAGCCAATGTTCTACCCAAGAACAAGCATTTTCATCTAGACCGATTTCCTTGAGTTTGAACACTAATCTATTGTGTGGAACTGTATCAAATGCCTCGGCAAAATCCAAATAGACCACATCCACGGCAACACCCTGATCTATACTTCTACTTCTTCGTAGAACGCAATCAACTTAGTTTGACATGACCTGTGCTTCATAAAACCGTGCTGATTTTTGCTGATCACCATGTTCTTCTCAAGGAATTCTTGAATATTATCCCTTAATAACCTTTCAAATATTTTACCAGCCACAGAAGTTAAGCTCACAGATCTATAATTTCCAGGCAAGGATTTTGAACCCTTTTTGAATATAGGAACCACATCTGCCTTCCTCCAATCCTCCGGAACACTTCCTGAAAGAAAAGAATCTTGAAAGATTAAAAACAGAGGTTCACTTATATCTACACTTAGTTCCTTAAGTACACATGGATGGATACCGTCAGGCCCTGGAGATTTGTTTATATTAACTTTCTTTTGTTGCTGCAGCACCTTGTCTTGAGTTAACCAATTACAGTTATTCTGCAAGTTTTTAGTAGCAAACATAATAATGAAAACGCTATTTGGCTTTTGGTTATAATATCACTAACCAAGGTAGATTATAAGACTATTTAGAATTAATAATGTAAAATGAAAAAGGCATACAATATTCGATAAGAACATTAACATGCAACACAGAAGTATGGCAGATGCAGGGATAAATATATTGTCCAACATTTTCAGCTAAAATAAAGAAAACTGGTTGTAGGGTTTGGAATCCAAGAGGCCTTTAATCTCCACAGGCCAAGTTCTCTTCCCAATTTATATAAAATTTACCCCAAGCACAAGGAAATGCTGAAAGGAAAAAGGAAAGGATTAAAACATATTGTTTTTGGGGGTTTTTTTAATAACAAAAACATATTTAGGTGCAATAAATAAATGTGTACAATAATCAACATTTTTTAAACATCTGTTCTCCCCAGGCCGATTCAAAGTAATTTTTTATGAGAACACTTGGAATTAACTAAATCAACAATAGATATTTGGGCTTGATAAAGGCCGGTTTGTCAGCCGAAACGTTGATCTGTTTATGCGTTTGTGAATACACATTTTTTCATTTTAT